TAAATAAAAGTCCACTACATGATACATTTATTATACTCCTACATTATATACATAAATGATACATGATAAAGTTATGATACATGATACATATAAATGTTGATCACCCTCTATTACATACATACATGATACATGATACATCAACTATTTTTTTTTTAATTAAACTAGGCGAGTACCTGAAAAATTTATAAATAACCAAAAATATTTTTCAGGACTGTAAGCCTTACCCTGTACAAGAGACCGTCAAAAAGACGAAGATTTAAATATCAGTAAATATACTGATACTTTCAAAAGAGACCTAATTAGACCTATACAAAATTATGTCCAATGTCTGATATTTTTTGAGACTTTTCAGAACTATTTTTTTAGTAACTCAATAAAGAAAACTACATGCTAAATTTCCTGTCATCGTGATACATCAACTATTTTTTAATTTGTGTTCCCTCAATAACATATAAGAAAATAACACATTTACTCGTCTTTTTATTTCAAATGTGACAAAAGAAATAAAACCGTAAAATGTAAACTAATTTGTAGAAATATTAGCCATTGAAAAATATTAAATAAAACGGAAGGAAAACAGCTACACAAAACAATTATTATTGCATTATTTTGAATTTGATAATCGGATGAATATCTAACAATATTTTGTGAATATTTATCACAAGAGGGCAACATTACAAAATTTTGTGAACATTGAAATTGAATAAATTACAATTCGTTTGAGACAATTTCTTTATATATAAGAGACTTTTTATTAAGTCGTCCACTTCATTTAAGCGATTCAAAAATCAGAACTTTGTTATTTTACTTTAACAAACATTAAAGAAAATACTTTTACCTCATTTTTTTAGCTCTCCACATCTTTATTGAATTCATATTTTATATTATTTTTCTTCATTTTTTTAATGGAAGGAATTGTTAAAAGGTAATATCCTATTAACACATACGTGAGGCATCAGTCAAATAATAATAATAATAATAATAATAATAATAACAACAACAACTCTTCATTTCTGTTGATTCATTAATTTGTTTAATTTTTCATTGATTTTGATCATGTTTAAATAAAAAATTTGTAAACATTAATTTTATTTATTTTATCATAATTAATTCATGATAGGGGGGACTGCTGTCCCCGTGTAGCGGAGCTGTGAAGCGCCTAGTTTAATAATTAATTTGTGTGCTAAATATTCTTTATACCTTTATTAAATGTATGAAAATTGTAAATAACACCAAGTGAAAAGGAATTGATATTATTTATTGAGGATAAATTAAAAAAACTAGTATTTAATTAATTTGTCTTGAAATCTTAAAATGGTCTATATTTTGAAACGGAGAGAGTAACTTGTAACAACAAATTAATAAATACAGAGTTATTTTGTTATATAAAAAATAAAATCTTTCCAATTACCAATAATACGCTTATGAAAAATTTTAACACATCTTCTGGAATTAATTTTCTTTATTTTATTCCTTCTTTTATGGATAAGGTAAAAGTCAATCTCCCATTCCAAATAAAAAAAAAAACTTGCCCAAATTCCTTTTCTTCTCCAAATCCAAAAAACTTGCATAACGTAATGTTTTTTTCTTCTAAAAAAAAAAACTTGCCTAACTTTCTTTCTTCTTATTTTCGGTGATCTTATTAAATCTTGAGCACCGAATAAAAAATTATTAAAACATGATATGAGAATTTAAAAAAATTACAATAACACTACAAAAACTCCTGCTGTTACCCACGGCTTTCAGCGTGCCGTAGGTAAATCGTGGGTAATTATCCACGGCATACCCATGAATTACCCACGAAAAGTTGACCAAGATTTGTTCTTACTTTACCCACAAAATACCACGATTTACCCACGAAATTACCCACCAAAAAAAAGGTCATGGCACCTGGGTAATGTTTTTCCGCCAAAAGATTTGACACGAATTCTCGACGAAAACTATTGTGGGTATTTACACACGAATTATGTCGTGGGTATTTTGTGGCTAATGTTTTCCCGCTAACAATTTTCTCACGTTTTACCCACAAATTGTGTTGAGGGGAATTAAACACGACCCTTTTCGTGTGTAAGTCGTGGGTAATAATAACATTTTCTCATGATTTACCCACGATATATGTTGTGGGTAATGTTACCATGGATAATTGCTTGTTTAACGTGAGAAAGTCGTGAGTAAAATGCAATCACAAATTTTTAAGCACTTCTATTTTTAATTAATAGTTTGATCCTGTTAATTGATTTATTTGAAATAATGTGTTTGTTGAAATTTTTTTTAATCTTATAATCCATTATTGTGAGAAGTATGTACGTATAAGAAACTGATATAAACATTTATTTTATATATATAGATAATTATGACCTATATGCACTGTTTATTTAAAGAAGACATTTATATATATACATATATATATATATATATTGGATTCCAAAAGGACTATAAGTGAACTATATAATCATGACAATAAAAGTATATGTAGTATTATTACTTTTAAGTTGTGACATATATATTGATAATGTCTATGATCACAATTATGATTGGGTAAGTTGTGACATATATATTGATAAGGTTTGTGATCACATATATGATCATGACAATTAGAGTATGAGTTTATTTGAAGAAGATAATTAGACTTCATTTCAAAAAGACAACTGATGATCGATATAATCATGACCATTAAAGTATAGTATTATTACTTTTTAGTTGTCACATATACGTTGATAATGTTTGTGACGTTATGATTTGATAAGTAATGATACCTGATCAGTTTAGTATATAGTTAATAAAATTTCAAGGTTGAAATAAAAAACGAATCATAAACTTATTTTTATTAATGTTTATTAATCACATTATTTTTTATTTTGATGTTCATTTGGACCAAAGTGAAACGTCATTTTTGGGACGGGGAGTACAAATTTAGCATTATGTATACTATTTGGGTTAAAATTAAAATAAGAAAATTGTTCATTAAAGGTATAAATAGAAATATTTACCTTGACACATAGTTCAAATAAGAAAAAAAGTTCTAGGGTATCACTTTGTAAATTCAAAGGTGTCTGTTTTGTAATTTAATAAGGACTATTTTGACATTTAGAGATTTAATTTGTCAAAACTTGAAAGTAAAAATAAAAAATTAACTATCTTTCGAAAAAAAGGAAAAAATAAAATGCCTACAACTAATTTATTGTGTAAAAAACACGGGGAAACTCCCGCTTTGCCAAAATTTGGCGCTTTTTGCTAAATACCCCCCGCTTTTGTCCCACAGCCAAATATCCCTAACACTTAAACGCTCAAATTTGACCAACGCTCAACTCTTCCCAAAAACTCTGAACCATCGCCGCTATTCAGCTCTCACCTCCGTTGTTCATCTCTCAGCACCGCCGCCCTCTTCTCTCATAGAAACGCAAATCGGATACAAATCAAGGCCTCCAATTCAATGTTTTTTGCCCTAATGTGAAATCCTTCCTCATCCATCGATTTCAGATGTTGTTTTTTGTTCTTGTGCCCTAGATCTGCTGGAGTTCCTTTCTAAAAAGAAGCTGTAGCACATCGTCGATTCTGGAGTGAGACTCTAATGGATTTTTCCCCATTTCGGCCAACCCTAGCTTACCTCCTCCATTTCTAATCCTTGCAGCCACCACAGTCTGTCTGCCACACCTCTCACCATAGCCATCGCATCAAACGAATAGATCTGAGGTTGATAATGAATCGTTCAAATCTGATTCGATTCGAGAGTCGATGGTATGGGATATTGTGTTGTGGAACTGAATCTGAATTGTTTGAATCTAAATCGATGCGGAAGAACGAGGACCACCCTGCCAGCCAAGCCTCCGCTTGATTCGAACTTGCAGCTGCCACCGCAAAATCTTAGTCCTAATTGGACCTATACAAAATTATGTCTAATGTTTGTATTTTTCGGATTTTTCAGAACTATTTTCTTAGTAATTCAATAAAGAAAAACTACAGGCTAAATTTCCTGTCATCGTGATTCGCTTCTTTTGGGTCAAAGATCTGAACTGGCACGTTTAGTGGGTATACGGAGAATCTAAATCTGTGAGTGATATACAGGAAAATTATTGTTCTGTTCAGTATGAATTTTCAATTTTAATACAATTTAATAAGAAATGAAAAATCAAAACTGGACAATAATTTTGGACGGAGGGAGTATTTTCATTTTAAGTTTGACTTTTGAAGCATTTTATCATGTTGGATTAGGACCTTGAGCCAGCTGGTGTTTGAGAATTCAACCCAGATAGATGCCTAGCTTCTTCAAGAAAAAAGTTTGAAACTAAGAGCAACCCCTTGTGTACGAACTACCATTTGCTTACTTGGATTTGTCCGGTCAACGGATTTGAGGTGTGTTTGTGAGTTGAAACCGGTCTTGCGAGCCCACTTTGATGTTGATGCAACTTCAAAAAGGTGGTTACATTCTTTAGAAACTTTGATATTGAGAAGGGACGAGATCAATGGAAGAAAAGAGTATATTTTGATGGCAACCAGTCAAAAACTAGGTTGAATTATACTGTTAATTGAAGAGATACAATTATAAGGGTAACAGTTATATCTAGCTATCCTGGGCTGCTGTTACTTGAATAATTGGAGTTTGAAACTACGTGGTTCATTATCTGCGTCTTAGAATGAATGCAAAGAGAAAAACCCTCACTCTATCGAATATGAAAAAGATTATTTAAAAAAAAAAAAAAATCTTCGAGGTTTTGAGATAACGTGAAAGATTAAGGGATTATTGTTTCCTCAAGCCTTGAGTTAAGATGGACATGTTATGGATCCAAAACCCTAAAACAAAGCGATGGGAAGATGTTGTGTCACTAGTAAAGCAAAATAAGTTGTATTTTGCTAATGATTACTCTCCAGGTCCTATTTCATGTTAACACACAAACTAAACAAATTTTAGTTTGGACTTGTGCCTTACATATAGGATCAAAGCAAATGGATTTATATCGGTGCACAAAAGGGAGCTCCCAAAAGAATATTAATGCAATTTACCTCATTAACACGTATGAAATTAAACACAACACACAAAAAAAATTTAGGTTTAGGACCGAGAACCGAAAATCCAAAACTTATATATATTGTCCATCAACGAGACTTTCAAGTAGGCATAGCCCGGCTCCAAAACCTTGAAAAGTATCAGAAGGATAGGCTTGATTGTGAGAATCAGCTGCACAAACTCTGCCTTTTCTGCTTTCAAGAAAAATGTATCTAGATCTATGCCTTTGCTAATAGTTTGAGATCATGATGAATTCCTATCTGCAGAAGAGTTATAAAGCCAAAATGTAGTAAAAGGTGAAAAAGGACTATGTACATACGCAAGTGGTGACTGGTGAGTGTAACTTTAGAACCACCCGAAACCACAAATCAACAGCAGCGATAATTCCTAGTCAATTGAACAGACGATTTATGACTTCCTCCAGAAACTGAAAATCCCGTTTAGTATAGACTTGAGACTCCATGCAGAGGATTTCTTCCGAGAAACTATATCGTTCCTGTGTCCTTCAATCATGTCCCTGAAACACAAAGTTTCATGAATCAATGGAAAATGAAGCTAATCATATCACAGGGATCAGTACAGGAGCAATGTAGAGGAAGTTCTGTTTTACAGGAGCAATGGAGCAGATTAGGGGCACGATCCATGCCTAATTCCCAAACATGTGTAAGTACTTAAACACAATTTACCAACCTTGCAAAAAGTAATGGTTCTCAGTCTCCATAATAGGAGAATATCTAGTCAGCAACGCCATTGATGATGATCATAATAAGTTCAGAAAACATCCTACTTAAAAAATTTTCAATTCTCAACTCTTTTACTTCCTCTTTCCCGATCAAACCGATGGTAATGTTTATTGTATTATAATTTTGAAGTACAAACAAACAAGACAATAGTTTTTGGACTTCAAAACAAATTCTTATAAGACTCTCTGGGTAAAATTGAGCATGCGAAAAAGAGACCAAAGAGCATAAAACAGGACAGAAACTTAAACAAGCAAAGGCGATTATCACAGAATAGCATTTCCTTGCAATTCAAAGACAAAAGAGTAATCAAGGAAACAACAACATTCAAACTGAAAGAAAATACCTCGCAGGTGATGCTTCTTCTAAAACAGGAATTCTTCTATCCACCTCCAACCGTTCATGATCGCTGTACTTGTTCTGTAAATCATCGAGCAATGCTTTCAACACCTCGCAATCCCCAACAATCATGCGAGAATCAATCTTAACAACATTCTGTACAGTGCCTATCCCTGATCCCTGTCCACCGTCCTTACCATCAACAGTAACCACTCCTCCATAAACAAAACCAAAAGTGGTGAGTCCCTTCTCTGTTTTATCCCCTGCATTCCTATCACTCACAATCTTCTGCTTCTCTGTATTATCCCCTGCATTCCTAACACTTATAATCTGCTTTCCGGAAATGTCAACCATGTCAACCGGAAGTTGGTCTGGTCTACTGGATTCCATTATCGCCAAGGGGAGAATTCTTGGGCAATCAACAACCGCATAGGAAGGGTCGCTGGGAAATCGATCAAAACGACTGGATCTAAATATGAATTCAGTCTTCCCTGCTGATGATGGTGATTTTGGGGACGTTTTCTTGACCGAAGAAACCTTTCTCTTTCTGAGCTTCTTCCGCGAAACCACCTTCTTTGAGAGCATAATTCGGGAAAGTTTGAAGCTCCACCAGGAATCAGAAACTCTTCTCTTGGAGACCATCTTCTGCAAAACCTTTGTTTCTTCAGAAAAGGGAAGAAAAAGAAAAACAAACCCCAATTCAAATCAATAATCTAAAACCCATATCGTTCTTTCTTTCTATTAGATGACTATACTAATTCCTAACTTCCAAATCAAAGAAACTGATTAAAGCCGGCAGTAAATTCAATCAAGTCTTAGATTAATTCGCAGTAAAATCATGATAGCAACACAATTAAATGGCACATTAAATTGAAATAAGAACAAGAATAACACAGAAAGCATTCGTGGAAATAGAAGTTACCGATTGACAAACTCTAAGCAGGGAAACCCAGGGAAGATGAAAAATGAAACTTTGAACGAATAAACTGAATGGAGTCTAGCCGCCTGTGTGGGTTTGATGCGTTTCTAAAACGATTACTATCAGTAAGATGTTTGAGTTTGATGAGGAGGATCTTAAAACCTATTATTAGAAAGTCTTTATTATAATTTGAGAGGTTAATTAAGTGATCCTATCCCATAGGGAATAAGGGTTTGGTTCTTTTTTAATTTTACAATGAAATCTGAAAACCCTTTATGTTTGTTTTGTTTATTCAGTGCGTGTTTTTAGGTATTTTTGGTATTAAAAATATAAAAATGTGTATTAGAAATGTAAAAAGATAGGTTGAAATGGGACAGTTATTAATTAATAATTCTAAAAAAATCATAAAAAAAGGAAACAAACAAATATTTTTGGTAGTTACTACTTTTTTCTCACAAAATCACTGTTTTTATTATTTGCGCTATTGGCTAATGGATACATGGCAATTATTAGTTTAAAATTAATGAAACTCTTTACGTGAAATAGTTACTTCTTAGTAAAAAAGAAAATTCAGAATTGAGTTTCCTAAAAGTAATAATTACAAAAAGTAAGTCACTTTTGAAACTTCGTTTGAGTCATCTCCTTAAATATTAATCTCCAAAAATATTTGTTTAAAAAAAAATCTAAATTCGTCCTATAATTTAAAAAATCACAAAAAGTTGTACCCAAAAAAATCAAAAAATATATAGCATTTAGTATATATATCTGTATATATATATATTAAAGGATTCAGTGGGACACGTGACTAAATTAACCGAAAATTTCTCAAAATTAAATTAACTTATCTTCTTTCATGCCTTCTTTTTTTTCCTAAAGCAATCTTCTCTCTCTTCCTTTTTTTTTTTTTAATTTGTCCGCAAAACTAATCCGTTGATTTTCTTTGTTAAAACCAAAATAAAAACCAAGTTAACGGCACCATTATCGAGATTGTAAATTTAAATCCACAAATGCATGATTATAGATTGTATAGTGCGTGGTACGAAAATGAGCTTTCTATCAATGAAGAAAACCTGGGGATTCGAAAATGATTCCCTAAAGCTATAGAGATGGCTTCGAGAGTTTGGTAGCAAATATATATGTGGGCAAATTATCTGGTACACCCGGGACACCGTGTACCTTCCTACGCGTGTACTTTACTCTCTTAGAATAGCGTGAGTTCGCATAATAATTCATCCTTCTTTCTTTTTTTTTAACGCGGCATATATAAATTAACGAATTCATTCAAATTGGATATTGGGTGCACACTATGGATAACCAGCTACACACTATGGACAACCAGTTACACACAGTTGGATAACCATTATTAACCTGTTGGATAACCAGTATGGACATAGTGGATAACCAGTGTGCACATTATGGATAATCAGTTACACACAGCTGGATAACCAAATTTCATTTTTTTCCTTTTATAATTTTCTTGGATATCCGTGTCCGTATTTTTTTACACTGGTTATCCAACTGTCCCTCATTCATTTTTTGTTCTCCATCATTTGGCAAACTTCCCCTCATTCGATTAAATAATATTTATGAAATTTGCCATGTTCGGCATGGGGGCGGCACAGCCGCGAAAGGCGGCGCATTCGCGGGTGCGCCGGGTCGTTTAGTTTATCACAGGGGGATTTATACAAGTAATTTGTATCCCTTCTTAATGCAATAACACACTCTCCTTACACACATACTCTCCTTACACACACACGAAAAAAAGATTACCTTAGCTATATTGGCGTATTCGGCGGGGCGGCGCAGTCGGGGCAGGTTGGTGACCTGCGGTTCCGGTAGCCGCGGGAGTCATTTAGTTTATCATTCGCCCCCTAATTAACATGTCGTTTGCTTCTTTACCTCTGAATAACCAGTTTACATCTTCTGGATAACCAGTTTACACCTTCTGGATAACCAGTTTACAACTTGTGGATAACCAGTTTACACCTTCTGGATAACCAGTTTACAACTTGTGGATAACCAGTTTACGCCTTGTGGATAACAGTTTACGCCTTGTGGATAACCAGTTTACGCCTTGTGGATAACCAGTTTACAACTTGTGGATAACCAGTTTACGCCTTCTGGTTGGATAACCAGTTTACAACTTGTTGGATAACCAGTTTACGCCTTCTGGTTGGATAACCAGTTTACAACTTGTGGATAACCAGTTTACACCTTCTGGATAACCAGTTTACGCCTTGTGATAACCAGTTTACAACTTGTGGATAACTAATTTACACCTTCTGGATAACCAGTTTACCCCTTCTAGATAACCAGTTTACAACTTGTGAATAAATTATGGATAACCAGCAATTGTGTGTGTTTGTGCGTGAGGATGAAAACAGTAAATGGATGAAAACAATTTTGTTTGTGCATTTAATGTAAAGGTAAAAAATGTTGAGAGCGTGTAGTGCGTGTGTTTGGTGGGGGTATACGGTATACCTGGGTGCACTGGATACGGACTCATATAATACATGCTTTTATCATGTAATCTTTTCTTTATTAATAAATTCAAATTTCAAAAAATGTCCTTTTATATGGTGTCTTCAGTTTGAAAAATAATTAATTAAGAGATCAGATGATTCTTAAATAACTAATTTTACTCGATTTAATTTTTTTCATTAATCATAAGAGAATTAAACTAATGTGAAAGGAACTCCGTGTCTTCACCTTTAACACTACAAAGAAAATGGAAAAAGTTACTTATTTGGAAAATTTAAAATCACCATATGTAGAATAGTGTTTCATCTTTAACACTACAAAAAAGAAAAAAATTAAATTAAATATCAGAAAAAATTGTCTTTCGTATATAAACCCTATAGATAAATATAAAAAAAAAACCGAGAAAATATTGAAAGATGAAATAATTATAACAAATTTTTTAGGATAGGAAAAAAAACATGACGTAGACACTATGTTATAGGAAAAATATACGAATAAACTTCTAAAGAAAGTTTGGAAAAGGTATAGAGAGATAGAAAATAAAGATAAGTTTATGAAAAATTAAATAAATACTTTTCTTTTCTTTTCTTTTTTTTTTACATCTGGCAGTAGACTTACCAATTTACAAAAAGAGAGAGCATCTTACCTTTAAATAAGGGAAAAAAAATATCATATCTAAATGTAGCTTAATTTTTACAGATTGGGAAAGAATACGAGAAAGGTTCAGGAACCATCACTCAATAAGCTTTTGCTCTTTTGGCTATGCTAGGTCTTTCTATTCCAGCAATATCGAATCCTATGGCTTTTCAACAAGTTTAGTGATCGGGTGGGAGTTTTTCTACAGCTCTCAAATCGCCTATATGGCAGTCCTGTCTTTCACAGCTTGGAAAATATGAAAAGCACAAAACAATTGCATCTTTAGAGGCGATGATTTTTCAATGGCAAGAGTTATTTTTTCAATCAAGGAACATGTTGCTACTATGATGAATACGCACGAGCTAAATGTTATGAAGTCATAACGGGTTTTCTTGCAAGAATTATTACATAGAAAACTTGCTCCTCCCCTAACACCAAAGGTATGTTCAGTCAAATGGTCTCCTCCAATGAGGGGCTCTTTCATATTAAATAGTGATGGTTCGAGTTTAGGGAATTCGGCCCAATCGGTTGGCTTTGTCATAAGAGGGGGAAGGGGGTTCTTCATGTATGGAGAATCTGATTATTTTGGGAGGAGGAACCAATTTAACTGCTGAAATTTTCATTGTATTCTATGATTTAAGAAAATGTGTAAAATTCGACTTGAGCAAAGTAAAAGTTCAGACAGATAACGCTTTACTCATAATGTTGCACGAGGTGAAACCATTCCCGTGGAGGGTCTTTAAAGAGTTGGGAGAAATTTTTAGTGAGATTAAAAAATTTGCAAAAAAGACCATATCACATAATAGTAGATACCCATAAAACAGCTCCAATTCATAGATCTGCACCCGCGTTTATACAGTTAGATACAAAATTATCCATTTTTTAAAATGGAATTAAAGTAGTGGATCGTTTAGCCCCTTATCTCCATGGTGGAAAAATAGGACTATTTGGCATAGTTGGGGTGGGTAAAACAGTACTCATAATGGAATTGATTAACAATATTGCCAAAGCGCATGGTGGTGTATCCGTATTTGGAGGAGTGGGCGAACGTACTCGTGAAGGAAATGATCTTTACATGGAAATGATAGAATCTGGAGTGATAAATGAAGAAAATATTACAGAATCAAAAGTGGCTCTCGTTTACGGTGAGATGAACGAACCGCCAGGAGCTCGTATGAGAGTTGGTTTGACTACCCTAACTATGGCCGGATATTTTCAAGATGTTAATAAACAAGACGTACTTCTATTTATCGACAATATATTCCGTTTCATCCAAGCAGGGTTCGAAGTCTCGGTCTTATTGGGTCGAATGCATTCTGTCGTGGGCTACCAACCGACACTAAGTACTGAATTGGGTTCTTTACAATAAAGGATTACTTCTACCAAGGAGGGGTCCATCACTTCTATTCAAGCGGTTTATGTGCCTACGGACGATTTAACCGACCCCGTGCCTACCACGACATTTGCACATTTAGATGCTACTACCGTACTATCAAGAGGATTAGCTACCAAAGGTATCTATCCAGTAGTTGATCCTTTAGATTCAACCTCAACTATGCTTCAACCTCAACTATGCTTCAACCTCAGATCGTTGGTGAGGAACATTATGAAACCGCGCAAAAAGTGAAACAAACCTTACAACGTTACAAAGAACTTTAGAATATTATAGCTATCCTTGGGTTAGACGAATTATCCGAAGAGGATCATTTAATCATAGCGCGGGCGCGAAAATTGAATGTTTCTTATCACAACCTTTCTTTGTAGTAGATGTGTTTACTGGCTCTCCAAGGAAATATGTTGGTCTGGCAGAAACAATTAGAGGATTTCAACTGATTCCTTCCGGCGAGTTAGATGGTATTCCTGAACAAGCCTTTTATTTAGTAGGTAATATCGATGAAGCTACCGTGAAGGGTATGAACCTAGAAATGGAGAACAATTTGAAGAAATGACCTTAAATCTTTGTGTGCTGACCCCTAATAGAATTGTTTGGGATACAGAAGTGAAAGAAATAATTCTATCTACTAATAGTGGTCAAATTGGCGTATTATACAATCATGCCCCTATTGCGATAGCTGTAGATATAGTTATTTTAAGAATACGTCTTAATGATCAA